AAGTGGTCTCTTAATTTTTTCGGGAGCTGTTTGTAGAAAAACTAACAATCATCATGCCCCTGTTCACATCATTCATATGGTGACTCATGGTGGTGGCAGCATCCTGCTGTGGGGGTGTTCTGCAGAAAACCACTTAGAGATTGCAAAAGAGTTGAGGCGGGGGTAGTCCTTCACATTCCAGCATGACAATGACCCTGGACATAAACTCATAAAAATGAATTTGAAAAATAAAGGGCAAAAATCTTAGTCTTTAGATGTGTAATATTTTTATTTTAAATGTTTAAGCAGCAGCCTGAGTTTTTTGTCTCGTTGTTCAATAACGTGCTACATTGTGATTCTGAATGAGACACTGGGGGTGTTGAGCTCCAAACCTTCCTGCTTCTGCAAATGTGCTACATTTAGTTGGCCAATCGCAACAAATCTCGAAAGAAATTGAAGTTTACAATCTGGGAAAACCTGAAAAAGTTCAGTCAGCTGTGAATACTGGGCTGTAAGACGCTGTTTTCACGTTCAACTGCATAATGTAGTTTAATTTTTGAAAGGAAATGAGTTGACTGCCAACCATAGAGGAATATACCTGCTTTGTAATTTGAAACGAAAAAAACAAAAACAAAACAAAAGATCAAGTAAGTTCGTAATACCCCCAATGTTTAGGAGTGTCTCCGTTTGGAACAAATTAACTTTTTGAGGATAGCGTTTCATGACACCATGACCCAGACAGCACTCAAACAAAGTTGGCAGGAAAAACATCAGGTAAGACGAGTGAGACAACCACATTCAGTCAGACAGAGAAACCAGCAGACAGACAAATGCCCTCCGTTGTGGCCTGCTGGGTAGCGAGGATGAGCTGATGTCACTTCCCCTGCTGCTGGAAAATGTGCCGTAATTGTCCTGGCTGCAGGGCTAGACTCTGCAACCCCCCCCTAACCCCCTTCCACCACACACTAAGACGCCTCTTCAACTCTCTCTGCAGGATAACATTAAGGAATTCGGGGACAAGCATCCCACGCAAAAGTAAGAACATTTTTGCCCTACGTAATGTTTCCTCTGTTTAGAGATCTCCTGCTTTTGTTTTCATAATACATGATTGTGTTGGTGCTGTTATGTCTTTGGGACATTTTTCTAACATGATGAAGGCCTTTTAAAACACATCAGTCGGACAGTTTCTCAAATATAGCCGGGTAAAAATAACTCTGTCTATTTTTAGTGAGCTCGGAGAATGTACACAATAACATAACTTTGGAGTTACCTAAATGTCTTGTGCAGTTCGCCAGACCAGGAAGGGGAGATAAACACTCCAAATGTCCAGCAGCTGTCTTCTGATCTGCGACCCCTCATGTTCTGGATGTCAAATGCCACAGAGCTCCTGAACTTCTTCCAGGTCAAAGTCGAAACAATGGAGAAAGAGTGGGAATTTGAAGGTACAAACAATTAGAAAAACGTGGAAATTACTTATACTGAGGGGTGGGGGGGTTTACAGTTCAAATTAGCAAAAGAGCCAGCACAGAAATGAAAGCTGCTGCTCGGCCTCTAATTGTTCTTGCTGATTGTTTCTTGGAAAGCCCCCGGGGATCCGGTTTTGACAGCCGACATGGACACCTGTTCAGAGGCTCTTGCGCAGCTGGACGATGTCATAATGCACACCTTCCAGCAGTGTGTGTATCATCTCACCAAGGTAAATCAAAATACAACAATAAAGCTGGCCTCATTCTTTTACATCTAAACTCAGCAAGTAAACAGCGAAGTGGCTTGACAAAGACGTAGCGGATGTCTCGTTTATGGCAGCTTCAGGGCAGCCAGTTCTTGTCCTTATTTGGTCCAGAAGATAAAAAAAAAAAAATAAATGTTCAAATGTTCTCTCCAAAGTTAGCCACATATGTTGAAAGTCAAGCCTGCTAGCCTTTTTTGATCAACGCTAAGAGCGTCTGACGACATTAGACATCAGCAGACGTCTTCATGTGTTGAATTTTCTACTTTTCAAATGCGTGTTTTCTTTTGGTGGAAGGCAAAATTATATTTTACAATCTTTTCTGCAAGATTTTACTGGCCAGAATGAGTCAGCTGTAAAGTATCCCAAAACTGTTGTCCAACGCCCTATTAGGAATTTCCTGCCATCATCCCAGTTTTTCATGTCCATTGTGAGCCGAGGGGTTGAAATGAATCAGAATCTATCAGTCCAGAGAAGGTAACAAAAAAAAAAAAACCTTCTCACTTTTTAAACCATCGCTCAACGAAGGCGCGTCACCAGACCAACAAGTAACTAGGGGACAATGAGGATTTTTTTTACATGTTTCCGAAATCATTGAAAAGACTGCAACACTGAAATCCCTCTCTGTCTACAACAGAATAAACAAACAGTTAAAACAGGCGTGCAATGAAAACAAATGACATATTTGAGGCTTTTTACATCCAACTTACATGAGACTGGTGTTACAAAGGCTCATTTATCTAAATTAAACAAGTTCTTTGGGCTCAAGGTAAAATCATCACCCCAACTTATGTCGCTTTTTGGAGCAGTGCGATGCCGAGTCGTCCCTGCTTCACGTTCCACAGAAAAATTCACGAATAAGTATTCAGTGAATGCTGAACCACAAACAGGCGGGGTCCGCTCTGCATCCTTTGTAGTTGAGTACTTATCTATAATTTAATTTTCTTGTTTATTATTTTTGAAGGACTTTTTTTTTTTTTTTTTACTACATCCAATTTCTGTTCACTGTGGTTCTGATCCCTTTTTGGTCAGACGGCCAACTAAATTAAATGTTAGTGGTCTCCAACTGGTAGGCGTCGTTCATTGGAGTCACAGACAGATTTCCTTGCAGCAGACTGCGATCAGATTGCAGAATATTACTTTAGATCATCGATTGGCAGAGAGGAAACAATCTGACAACTGTGCAAAACAATGCATATATAGAACTGATGGAAAGCCAAAATACGTCAGTACAATTTTTTATTTTTTTTTTTTTAATTTCACCTCTCTTTTGTGTCGCCTGTCCACGAAGACCCTGTACTCGCTCCTGCCAGCCCTCCTGGACACCAACCCATTTTCCAGTGATGAGAAGGAGAAGGAGAAGGACGGCACTCGGGGCGCAGAGGGAGATGAGAATAAAGGAGAGGGGGGAGCTGAGGACGACGTGTCCGTCTTGCCTCCGAAGGTCGCCGGACTGGTGGAAGTGTATCGCTGCTCCTTGATGCTGTCCCGAGAAGCGTGTCTGTCTCCGCCGCTCACCTCCCAAACGTTTGGTTACCTCTTCTTCTTCACCAACACTTCCTTGCTGAATACTTTGCTGGAGAGAGGTAAGAGACAGCACTGGGTCGGCTGTTTTTTGGGGATTTGTCGTGGGGAATGAAAGTTACAAATACAATATTTTTTGTGGGGGGTTTTTTCCCCCCTCTTCTGCATCCTCTCTTTTTTCTTTTTTTTTCTAGATGGGTTGTTTTCATGGTCCAGAGCGGTCCAGATCCGGACAAATCTGGACTTGGTTCTAGATTGGCTGCAGGGCGCGGGGTTAGGAGACATAGCCTCGGAGTTTATGAAGAAACTCTCAGTTACGGTCAACTTTCTATGTATTCCCAAAACACGACTGATCCAGGTAAATTGATCTTCCTATCGCCACTTAAGCCGAAGTCCATAAAATTCCTGCTTCTTCATCAGCTCCCTTGTTCATCCTGAGCTCGGTTTTAAACGACTAAACAAGTTCACCTTCATACTAATACTGAACAGGATAAGGCCTTCAGGTCAGTGACTTCATGGCATTACGGCATTCAGAAGAACAGCTGCACAAAACTACGTCTGAGACTGTTGTTCCTGGTAGATTACAGCGAACAGCCCAGTGAAGCTCATTCACTCATTACCTCACTCATTACTTTCCCTACCTTTACAGTAAGTGTGAAGGTAGCCAGCTGAAAGCATCTCGCCTTCTGTAAAGAAAACAAAACCGAAGGTCTTTCTGCTTAAAATTGGTTTCTTGTCCCTTTTTTAAATCAAGTTAACCATCTCCTGCTTTTTTGCTTGAAACGCTTGGGGGGGGAAAAAAAAAAATGTAATTTTTTTCATTTTGTTTAGTCTGTTTTGCATGCAAGGGTTTAGTTTACACATTGACAAGCCAAAAGCTCACAACACAGATTTATATTCACTCCCTCTGCTCTGTTTGTAGTCCAGGTAGTTTCTCCTGTTACTCAAAATGAGACATGTTTGTATCGGCCCCAGCGAGTGTCTGGTTTGGCACAAGTGCTGCACCGCTCGTAGCACTGCAGCATGCACGCGTCTCCCCGTAGAGCTCAAAATAAAAATACGACCCTTTAATTAAGTGTAACACTGGCTCTTTAACGTCTCATCCTCCAGTCGTCTTGGACCAGTCTGAAAGAGGAGCATGAACTGCTAAGTCATGCCCAGCTGCACCACCTGCTCACCCATTACAAGCTGGGACCGACCCGAGCTCCGCCAGCATCCTGGGCTCCCCCGCCCGGCGCAGACCTGAACGGAGGTACTGCTTAATAGATAAAAACATTAAAGGTTTATTCTGACAGGGACTTGCAAAAATATTCACATCCTTACATTTTTTGTCACATAACACATTGATCAGTTTTCAAGTTTTCAGATTCCCAATTAGACTAAGGTCTGGACTGCAACCGGGTCATTTTAAGATATGAACATGCCTTCCAACGTGGTTCTGGATTTTTATCTTACGGGTCATTGTCCACCTTCCAAGGTGGAGCATTACACCGGTTTCTATTTTTCCCCCCTCTAAGTGGTTTTCTTCCATCATGTATTTACCTACATCCATCATTTTATATATAGAGTTTCCAAAAATCAGTCTCCACAGCATGAAGCTGCCACCACCATGTTTCGTGGTTCAGGGTGATGTGCGTTGTCAGATTTCCAAATGACATAAAGTTTTATCGTTACGTCATTAGCAGCTGCCTTAACTTTTGTTGGATTCCCTTCATTGCTTTCGTCCAACTCCAAACAGGACTTCATTTATTTTACAATCCCTCTTTTCTTAATTTTTGAAAAGCATCGTATTTCTTTTACTTCACAATTATCTGTTACTTTATTTTTTTTTTAAAAAGCTATAGAAACACCAAGTTGTGTGGTTGTGGCGTGACAAAATAGGATACAAATGTTTGCTGGGTGCTTGTGAACACACTGCCGCAACTCAATTATTCCTAATACCTTTTATTTCTTTTTTTTTTTTAGACATATTTGAGAGCTTTCTAGACCACCCTCCTCTCATCCTGCCGAACGAGACGCCTCGCCTCGACCTCTCCCAGCCAATCCCAAGCCCCGAGCTCCAGAAGGAAGTCACGCGTCTCCGCACCTTCCTGTGGGGACTCGATCAGGACGAGCTCCCCGCAAATCAGAGGACGCGGCTTTGAAAGAGCGCATATCAGCAGAATGAAAGAAACCGGAAATGATTTCTGCATTTAATTGCCTAGCAGTCGTTCTTCGTCCGATCCTAATTTCATTTCAGTTATTCCCTTTCTAATATTTTTGAACAAATCAGTTATCCTGTCTTTGTTTAGTCTTTGTGGAATTAGTTTTAAAGCAGGGAGAGGACATCCAAAAATTGTTGGGCTTCACTTCGCTCTTTTTCTTGGCTTCTCTGCGTATTTTCAAATGACTTGTTTTTAATAAAATGCTGAATTCTGGTCTAAGAGGCTTACAGTTTCCGTTTGGTCTTTGTTCCCCACAGCCGGGCCCCTGGGGCTTGGCATGCTCCTCGGCTCCCACACCATAAAAAGAAGCCTAAACATTCCACAAGGTGGCGATGCAGGACTCACTCCCCTTTGACGTTAAATGATGAGTGTGTGGAACTGCCTGACTAAGGAGCTGACACAAGTACATTATCATCCGCTCCAGAGTAACCGTCTCATTTTCTGTAATAAAGGTAGCAATTTGCGCTGGGTCGTGACTCAGGCGAGTAAATGAGGCTAAGATGACCACACACAAAAGTTACCTTTCCCAAAGTTAGCTGTGCTAAAGGTTAAATCCTTGTGACTTAAAAGCCGGGAAAGGTTTAATTTCCCCTACAGTTGATGAGGCACACTGATAAGAAGGGCTTCCAGTCTCTGGTATCTGATACGGTGGTAAAAAACTCCAGAAAAAGGTCATCTAATTTATCACAAAGAGCAGCCAGCTCTCACGCGCACCAGCCAGGTGAAATCACCATTTCAGTGAGTAAGTTGAGCTTGTTTGCCACAATTTGGCAACATCCAGTCAGTTTCACCGTCTAGTCAGCCAGATGTCCAATAAAAACAATTCCTCACTTTGCTTTTTTTTTCTCCTGAGACAGAAGCTCTCTGACGTCTAAGAAAACTCCAGTTATCGTGCTGCTCTCTTGGTGCGCAGCCAGACGGCTTCCTTCCTTTCTTCCGGTCAGCTTCTAAGAGTTCCCTTACGGTAAAAACGCTCAAAAACAAAACACAAATCCCGTGAGAGAGAGAGACCCTCGGCTTACATCATCTCCCTGATGTATCCGGTTCTCTCTCTCTCTCTCTCTCTCTCTCTCTCTCTCTTGAGATGACATGAAAAACAAAAAACCCACGGTAAAAGATTGTGAATCATGTAAAGAGCCATCTCTGTGGTTAGGATTTATCAATTAAGTGATTGTAATCACTCTCATTTGAGATTCGGTGTGTGGTGTATGAGTGAGAGTGTGTTTGTGCGCTAATTTCAGCTTTCCAGTAATGTCATGCAGACGCAGCCTGTGGCTATAATTAAACACAGATGGGGTTCAGCTTGGTATAGATCCATGCCATGATTGTGTGACATTACTGTACGATGCAATGACTGCTGTACGCCATTCTGTTGTCGTGATACACTAGTGTGAACGTGTGACCAGGATGGTTCAGTAGGCATTTGACACACACACACACACACACACACACACACACACACACGCACACACACACACACACACACACTTAGTTGTCTGTGTTTTACAGACAAATAAATTTATTGGGCACTCTGTTGTAAAAAAATAAAAAATTACAAACTATTAAAATCCCACATTAAGATTTTTTCTTTAAATAAGATTATTTCTGTCATTTTTTTTTATTAATACTTTCCACTTTAAGTTAATCGAAGCATAACAACTTTAATTCGTAGTGTACCACTTGATGCCCCTTTATCTTAGGAATTCGTAAACAGGAGAAAGACAAGCAAACATGCAACATCAAGTTAGACAGACATCTCAATAAGTGAATCTGTAAGTATTACACAATACACCGGTCTGTTTCTGTGCAAGTCCACAAGTCCAGAGAAGGACTCGAGTTTATTTTGCTACAAACTCAGCCAGGAGGACGGTACGGTCAGGCATCGAGTCTCAAACATCAATTGGAACCAGGATTAGCACTTAAATTCTCCCAGGATTGTTCAGTTATTTATTAAATTTTGATTGCTAGTTTTGATATTCAGATCCCCAATGTAACACTGAAGAAGAATCAGCTGGAAGTGTGGCTACACTTTACTAAAAGAACCGAGCCGTCGGCTCAGCACAACATTTCCAACAGGAATATTTTGTACAAACGGAGGGAGCGCGACCAACCTGCTACAATACCTCCGGCCTTGTGCTTGTCTTTGATGCAGTGCGCCAAACTTCATCCTACCTGACTGCAGTCACAGTCAGGAGAGAAAAATCAGAAAGTTTCCACAAACTTGAAGTTGAAAATTGTTAGTGTTAGCCAGGTAGTTGAAAAGACTCGCCGTTCATGATTTTATATTGTACCTACTGCTGACCTGGACTAGGTTTTACAAGTTATTCTTCTTTGTTTGCTTTTCTGCACCATGTTAGCACATCAGTGGGAGCTTAATTACATGTTTTTAGTGCCTGCAGCATCAGATAATAGCTGTAAAAGTGTTTTCATCAGATAAAGGTCTTGCGAAAGTGAACCCACATAAAAAGAAGATTAATAACATGTATATCAAGTACATGTTTGATATTATATAAAAGTTGAAAGTATTGATGTGGGGAAAAAATAACAATAATTGAGAAGTTGGGACTTTTTAAATCCATTAACAACTCTGGTTAGTTAACTCAATAAAGGCATGTAGACTTTTTTGAGCGTCAAAACGTGGAACTGGAATATGAACCAGGATCATTCAACTTCAAACAATGTCTAACCTTAAGTAAAGGAGCTAAAAAAATATCCATAACTCAGTGTTTGAGAAAAGAATGGTACGTCTGTAATGTAAGCATGTGGTGTATGATAAACTTTAGTGGAACCGGTCAAGTTTTTAGGAACAAACAATGATGAAAATGTGGAAAAGCATCAAATTTTGGAACATTGGGGAATATGCGATGCTATGGGTTACTTCTTCTGCATCGTGCATTTTATTAACTCCTTGAAATGTGTCCTAACTGGATCGTTTAGTTGCACAGTGAACCAGAATATATGACCAAATCAACAAGAAATAGTTTTCCAGACACAAAATCAAAATCAGTGGCCATCTCAGCCCCAACGCTTAAATCGTGAGCAAAAGCTGTGGGATTGGCTGAAAAGAAGAGACTACTAGAGAGGAATGTGGGTGATCCAGTGATATTGCACAGAGATGAATAGTCCAAGATCCATTTATCTGTATTTTTCAATCTTGGGAAATGTTAAAGGGGACTACTTTTATTTTGGGAAAAATAATCATTTCTTAACATGGGATTTTCCGTTTTGAACATATTAAAACGAAAGGTTGGATTTTTCTAAACGCTTTCAGAATGAGATTATTCTTCCACAGTAAGACATCTTTTTTTTTTTTTTTTTTTAAAGACTAAATTTGTCTGGAAATGTCTGACAAATCCATAAAGTCATACACACTTTCACTCTGATCTGTACAATCACACACAGACCTTTTTTTTTTTTAACCCAGGTGCAGAGTCCCACACCTGTTGCAGCCGTTCTCTGTAATTAGCCCAGTAGAATTACCTGTGGTCCATAAAGGGAAGGGCTGAAGACAATGGCCCACTTATTCAGCCCCCTATCATCTCCTTCTCTCTCCTTGCTGCGGAGTAATGAAAGATCCAGCCCCTTCTTCAAAGAGATGGAGTTTCCTACAAAAACAGCTGAGTCAGAGGAGAAACGAGGGAAGGATGAAAAGAAAAGGAGAACAGTAGGGAAGCGAACGTGGTAATGCAGCGCTGCTGGTGTGAGGCCCGGTGGACCACAGTGATTGTGTTCGTTCTAGCGCACGCGGGAGTCATTTTCAGGAACCAGAAAGAAGGCCCATGGCTCTGACGCTGAAACAGCTACAACCTGGCAGGGCTTTAAGTTTCTGATCTGGCAACATTTTACCTGAGCCTTGCGTCATCTTAAAGCCTTGAGGGTTCTTTTCAAGCCACACGTCATAGGAGGATAAAGGTCAGAATGTGATGCTTAGAACAATTGTTCTCACAAAGTTAAAACCTCCTCAGTAGGTGCCCAGTTTTCCAAAAACCAATATACTGACTGACTTTAAGGCGGCAGCATAACAAGGTCTTGGCATTTGTATTTTTTTTTAAAAGAAGAAAAAATGGCTCACACTATTTGTTTCATAGTGTGACCCAGTAGTATTTAGAAAGACCAATGTGATTTTTGAACATTTGATGCTCATTAGCTCATGGTTAATCAACTTGTATAATAATACAAGGTGGTACAGCTGAGTGTCCACAGACCTGGATGTTCCTGGTTTGATCCTCGTTCCCTTTCTCCTGAGTATAGCTATGAGTCGGATGAGCATCCGGCGTAAAACGTCTACCAAGTCAACAACATTTCTTCTCAATACTGCTAAACGCTAACACCAACAGTAGCATGTTGGAGAACCATGGGGTTAGAAGAAGCAATCCTTTTGAGTTTTTCCACCAAGCAGTTCTGGTGCTCTTACCAGGACTGGTACTGCAGCCAGTTTTTAACTGGTTCCATGAAAGAAATTAGGTTTTCCACAATCCATTTGCCAAAACTGAGCCACTTTATTTTGTCAGCATAAACATTTCATCCAGTAACTAATCCTCCCACCAGAAAACGTCAGGCCAATTGATGCCTCAGCTCCAACCTGAATGAGGTAATAATTCAGTTGTGTTGCAGCAGGAATCAAATTAAGCTAGCCTGGACACTAGCTCTCGAGGAACTGAGTTGTCATCCTACTCAGCTGATGTGCGATCTTATCGGTGTAACCATGTAGCTTGAACTCGCCCTTGGAATTTGACCTTTCATTTCCATAGACTCGCTGCTTACGTCTGTGAAGCTCTCTGACATCAGAACGGAAGAACTCTTGCTAACTGGCTAATCGTACACTTCCTAGGTTGATGTAGGTTGCCCTCATATTTCCTAAGAGCTGCTGCTGATTGCCTCGTGTGCCCATGTGCGTCTGTTTTTCAAAGTGTTTGTTTTGAGTGTAAAAATTCAATTTTTATTCAAGCAGGAGCCCAAAACCAATTAATTAACCAGGACCTGGGAAGCCTATGGAGCTGTGGTTGTGCTAAAAGTTTGTCGCAGTAACAGTAGTAACACCAGCTGAAAGTATCCTAAGTCCAGCAATATTTAGGAACTTAATAAGGAAGAGCGTTTATGGATTTAGTGGAAAATTGTGACTTAATAAATGTGGGAAGATGAGAGGTGATGACGTCTTGTTATTCTGATGCTAATATTTCTTTTAATATTGTACCTCTGGCTTTTTTCGTTTTTTTTTTGTATA